AAAAAAATGACATCAAATATCCGGATTAGGCTTCATGGGTCATCTTTTTCAGAGTCACAATGAACGCAGACTGATGAGACTGAAGAAAGAGTGCACCCTGTGGGAGAGCAGCCGGCATCTGGTGCTGGAGCAACGCTGACAGGAGGCGGGCCTGATCAAACTGGCGAGGAGGAGTTGAACTGCTTCAAAAGACTTCAGAGACATGATGTGCAGCTTGTTAGTGTTAGTCGTGATTAAAACGCAACCTCCAAACTCGGATTTTATTTCAGGTTCAATTTAATTTGCAGTTCCAGATTAAAGAAGGTGTAGTTTGACTTCATATGCAAACTTTATGCTGCCACCAAGCCTTTTCACAGACGCCGGAGACAAGTTTCAGATGTGGATTTGCTGCCCTCTGGTGGCAACAGTGTTCATTACAGTCACAAAAGACATTTAAAATTCTTCAGCGTTTATTTTTTACTTTAAGGCACATATAATTTATGTACTTATCTTCATTCTTTATCCCGTAGTGTAAGCATACATGTACATATAGACAAAAAGGACTTTGTAAGTTCAGTTAAGGCATGTCGGCGCCATGCAAGTTTCCAAATCACAGAAGACATTTGCAATAACAATTAAAAACCCCATTGCCGTGATACCAAAAGAATTGTTCTTCCTTCTATCTTGTGACTCCAAGTATTTATTAAAACGCAGAAATTACCTTCAAAATGTTAAATATAATGCAGAGACCAAATAAACTTACAATTATCTGTTCATAGTTACATCTGATCAGAGAAATTCCTTTAAATCCCACACCATAATGATTCTCATTCATTCTGGAAGTCCACATCTGTATATTCAATATCCTTGAGGTCTACTACCTCCCAAATGATCAATTACCCAGCTTAGTTCCCAGATTAAAAGTTCAGACTAGAATGAATGCTTCTGCTCTCTAGCACCCTTCAAGCTCTATCCTCTGCTCTGCTGCCACGGGGAGGATAAGGTGAGAAATACGACTCCACAGTCCTCCATATTTGTCCAGGTCCATCATGTCAAAGGACACTGGGTGGCCATGAGTGAGGAATTTTTTCTGAAGGTGGTCATCCACCATCTCCTCAACAGCACACAAGTTAATCTTAGCAGGAATCTCGTCTTCTTCCCCCAGCAGCACAGTGAAGATCAGAAAAGTGTTCTTGTATGCGGCATTCTCGTGATCGCAATAACGATAAAAAATTAGCGTGGAGCCCGGAGGTAGCTCTTCGAAGCGATGAATGACGGCTACAGGTTTGTCTCCTTCAAACGCTCCCTGCAACTTCCTGTCAATGTCCAGTTTGACGTGGTCACTGTCCTGGCTGGCTTTGCTGGCTCCATCTATGTGGAGGACGGAGGCGTTCAGGGCGGAAGAGTAGGCGGAGGCCAGGTCCCGAGCTAGGCAGTTCAGCGTCTTCTCAGCTCTGAGGCCTGCAGTGAGAATCAGACTCACGGGCTCCGTGGGCTGTGCGGTCTGAAGGTGTCTCTTAAGGTGGATCCTGCCCCTATTCCAGAGCTCAGCACGCTGGTTAGGAAACCGAGTCTTTACTTTTTCCAGCTGCCTGAGGAAGACGTCTATGTGCCGTACATCATTCGTCTGAGGCGGAGATTCTGGCTGAAGAAAACGCTGCAGCGCGATAGCAACAATTGCCATTACTATAGCAACTGCTAGC